ACCCTTCTCAGCCTTTCCCACCCTTTCCCAGCCTGCCGGGTGCAGCTACAGGGGGCTAGCAGTGTTTTGCTGCTGGTGGTGATGCTGCACGTCCTGCATAGCATCCTCACTCTTGCGTGAACCCCCAGACCCCACTAACGCTGACTCACCCCTTCCCCAGCGTGGGTGTACTGCTGAGTCAGGGTCAGCGCGGGCTGCCCGAAGTGCTGAGTAAAGGTTCTGTGCTGTGTCGGGGGCTGTTTTGCTGAGTCACGGCAGAGCAAGGTCCACATGAGGCTGTTTATTAAGGGGCGGTTTCCTGCGCACTGAGGTTGCAGCTGCTGCTCTTGGATCCGGTCCCGCTTCTTGGGACAATGGGAGAAATCTCCAGAAACAGCCCCATGCAGGAGGAGGAGGAGAGTGGCTCCATACCCGCAGGGCAGGGAAGCACGCAGGGGTGGTTTGGGAGCCTTGAAGGGGGGTTTTGGCTTCTCACTCCCTTTGCAAACCTTGGTGTCCAGCTCCATCTCTTCCCCTTCCCTGTGAGCTGTGGTACAAAGTCCTCCTTACTGCATACATGTGATTTTCAAACCCAAGTTTTCACAGTCCGTCCTGTCTCGCAGTCAGGACTTTGACACTGACACAGAGGAAGAGGCACAGGCTGAAACATTTGCACAAATGAGGCTTTTATTCACTAACTCTGCCCTGCTCCCTTCCACACCTCCCTTTTGCTCCCAAAGCCAATTCTCAGCAGGGCACCGATTGATCCCTGCCACCACCAAGGCTCCAAGGAGTGTGGTGAGCTCTATGCACCCTACCCCGGAATTTCAGCTCAATGTACCCGTAACCTGCAGACCTGCTGCACACTTGTAGGTCACTGCTGGACCTGGGTCTGATCACAAAGCAGGCACATGCCTTGTGGGGTGTTCGCTCTGTTCTCCCTCCTCCTCCCTGTTCTGTTCCCAGCCAGACCACAGCGCTCTCTTCGCTCATAGCTATGTGCTGGAGACACTTGTAGAATCCCAGACAGGTTTGGGGTGGAAGGGACCTTAAAGCTCACTCAGTTCCACCCCCCTGCCAAGGGCAGGGACACCTTCCACTAGACCAGGTTGCTCCAACCCCTGTCCAACCTGGCCTTGAACACTGTCAGGGACAGGGCAGCCACAGCTTCTCAGGGCAACCTGTGCCAGTGCCTCACCACCCTCACAAGGAAGAACTTCTTCCTGATGTCTAATGTAAATCTCCCATGTGCTGCAGCACACATATATCCATACGTCCATAGAAACACGTATTGTAACCTGTGTCTCCTATTTTTGTCAAGGTGGCTTGTTTATGCCCGAGAAATCTCCCTGAACCTCCACCTCCCACCACACTGTCTCCAGGTTCCCGTGTATGGGGTTTGCCCAGCACAGCCATGGCACCAGCAGTGCTGGGCTGGAGGACCCTTCCTGTTAGGTCTGCCACCGCACTGCGCTCCTGACCTTCCTTTTTCTACCTCTACCCTTGATCCAGGCGTGGATTGTTTGATGCTGACCACAGTGAGCACAGTCAGTTCTGCCAGGGCCGGGCAATCTCCCTTTGGTAAACATGAATTAACCCACAGAGTATCCCTGGAAACTCCAGCACTGATTCCCTTCTTCAGCAAGTTATTAAAGCGGTTATCGCAACTTCTTTTTTTTTCCCCTTCCCTGCAATTACACAGCAATTCCCGGTTACTGAGTCAGCTTTCCATGTGCAACCCGGGCAGCTGAGTTTTGCTGTGTCATGGTCCGAGACCAGCATTAACCCCTCCCAGCCTGCTGGTTAAGGCTGGTTTCACCGGGTGGTGCATTCCCAAAGGAAGGAGCTGAGGGAGCTGCCTGCTGGACCCCAGCATGGAACAGTCAGTGCTTTCCAGGCAGCCTCAAGAGAGCTGACTTTGCACTTCGTTACTGCCTGCTTAACCATAGATCTATTGGCAGAACAGGCTGTTTGTTAACTGTATAAAGAGGAGAAAATCCCCCACTTTCCTATCCCAACGGACTCCTCAGTAACTTTCTGTTGTTGTTAACCATTGATTTACACCATTTCTTGATAAAGTTCTGGTAGTGCAGACAGAGGCTTTAAAGCTCAGCAGGAACAGTGACAAATATCCCACCTGAGGCTACTTCATTCAGTTTTGCTAGAAATACCCCAGGAAAATGCCCAGGCACATCACCCTCACAGTGAATACTTCTGGCACCACACAGCCACAGCTCCACTGCAAGAGTAGGAGGTGACAGGACTTCTGGCAGGTACGGTGGAGACCACAGGTCTGACGCTTGGATGAGATTCCAGCAGAATCCCCTAGTGACCTGGGTGCGGGCTGGCCTCTGCTTTCCATGGAGTGAGCTGCTCCCAGAGCCAGTGTGCTCCTTCCACTAAAAGCACACACCTCCTTCCCCGTGTATCACCCTCTGGTACCAGCTTCCCAGGCTCTCTTCATGGAGGAGATGGGTCCTCACAAATCTCTGCCTGCACGTTGGCACACTCAGTGTCATTAACCTTCCCCATGGCATGCAGCAACAGCACAGCAGAAGCAATACAAGTCCTCTCTGCAAAGCACTGGATGGAACCAGAAACGCCCCAAGCCAGCAACTGCAAAGATGATGACACCCCACTTTCAGTTCTCCTTCCATCTTGCTGCAGGGCATTTGGGCCTTTTAGGAGAGCTGGGTCCCATCTCACAGCTGCTCCATCCCAAGTGACCCTGATCAGCTGAGATGAGGCAGCATAAATCAGTTATGGAGCACAGCTTGCTTGCCTACCTCTATGGAAAAGCTTATAGCAGAGGTGAGCTCCATGGGGACCTCATTTCTTGTGAGCAGCCCAGGAGAAGGTGAAGCCCCAACAAGATCCAGAACTGGGTAAATTGGCTCCATGTCCTGGGGCAGTGTGGTTACAAGACAGCGCTTCTTCCTGGGAATGATTATCTTACCTGGAATGACAGTGAAACGACTACACACCATCACTCTCCTCTCCCAGTCTTACAACCCCATCTACTGCAACCCTGGATGGGAAGGAATGGGGAGGACCTTTTAGATGCATCCTTTACAGGGCCTCCAAGCATGCAGCCTCTTGGAATGAGGCAGGCAGGGGACAAAAGCAGTGGCCTGAAAGCAACCAGAAAGTCCTTAGGGAGGAACTGGGTGTGTTACCAGAGCTGCATAACAAAGGTGAAAGACAGGACTTGAGGGTTGGGTTTATTTTCATATTATCTCATGCAATGAACAATATTACTAATTTTCATATTCATATGTATTTCCTACTTCCCTCCAGCAGAGCAACAGGTTCAATCTGTGCTCCAGCTTCCCGTGTCAGAATAGGACTCACTGAAAAGAACAGACAATCTGAGCTTTAAGGAGCAATGCCAGAGGGAAACGTTCATTTTGGGGCCACCCCTATGGCCAAAAATGGCATCAGTGTTTTCCAGAGGGATTTACCATGCAGCCCTGATATATTTATTTTACCTTATAGAAAGGCAAGCAAGCCAGCAGCAAGTTGTCTGCAATGAAATGGGGGTAAGAGTGGAAGGTGACAGCTTTTGCTAGCGTGCACTGGTGCTTTAAAAGACAAAGCAAGACAGGAAAAGTGTGGCTGAGTCAGGGTGGAAGCGCTGAGTAATCCTTCCTGAGTGCTGCACTGCATGCCAGATGTCTGTTAGAGCTGCAAAACAAGTGTGGAAGTGTATTTCCTCCAGGACACCTTTCTATCCTGCAGCACTTAACCCAGTTATGTTCACATGTAGGTGCAGTCATAGGGAGACGTGCAAGGAGCGTGGGGACAGGTGGACAGAAGATGCCCCAGTCCTTCTCCCTCCTCCCCAGGCTCTGCCTCCCCACCACCCCCTGCACAGCCGCAGCACAGGGGTTTCTGACACCCGCAGCATCAAGGGAATGGTGACTTTAAGTGCTCAGCTCTTTGGGTTGAGCACAAAATGTGTGCTTTTCCCAAGTACAGCTGCTCCCAGGACAGCTACAGCTGGAAAAGAAAGGTCCCACTTCATCCCCTGGCTGCCTTGTGGACCACCAGACAAAACAGCAGAGCAGCCAGCTATGGGTAGAAGCACCTTGTCCAACTCCCAGATCAGAGAAATTATTTACCCTCTGCAGACTTCCTCGGTGTCCCCCAAGCCTTGTATGACATCTTTTCAGTGCACCCGTTACTCCAGCCTTCTGTGTGCCTAGGAGATGGAGTGCTGTTTTCCTAAATCACCCTGCACACAGGAGTGGTAACAGACAAGTCGCCGGCCACACAAATCAGATGGTATTTATGCCCATGTGGAAGAGAGTTTGGAAAGCCTTTTGCTGTGCATCAGTGCTGGCATACCCATGCTGTCTCTGTGTGACGTGACAGGGTTTATTCCCCAGTGCTCAGCACTGTGCAAGGGCAGTTCTGTTGCTTGCAGACCAGAGCTGGTGCATGTATGTGCCACCACAGCCACATTACCCTCGGTGCCCACAACAGGTACATGCCCCAGCGTCCTTACTGTGCTCCCTGCCATGCAGGGGCTATACTCCTAACCTGTACTGCTCCCCATCCTATGACCCACAAGTACCATGTTACCTGACTCTCTGAATATAGACAGGCACAGTCATGGGGAATAAGATGTTTATACTCAAGTTGTGCTGCATTAGCTCCCCAGGCAGGGTGAAGTCCCAAGGGACTGAAGCTGAGCACAGGGAGAAGAGGCTGCCTTCCCTGCCTCAGGCACTAGCCCTGTAAATCCACCCATTTGCCCAACCCGTCTGCCCTCAGCACAATAAGCACCTCTTGCATCACTGGGGCTCTGCCTGCCATGGGCACTGCGCTGAAAGGGTTACAGAGCCAGGCACCCTTGAAGGAGAAGTTGCTGGACATCCTCTTGTGTTTGTGCTTAGTTATCAAGGCGAATCAGGTGACTTCCTTCTGGTCCCTTTGGATCGCAGGCGCGGGGAGGCTGCCAGCCACGCTGGGAAGGGAAGTGCAGTTGTGTTGCAAGAAGTTTGTACTCACGCTGAGGTCAGTGGTTTGGCTGCTCACGTGGCTTGCCAGTATAAAGCTGGATGCGGGAGCTGGGCTGCCCAGCTCAGAGCTTCCCTATCCTGGGAGAAGAAGGGAAGGAAGGAGGAAGGCACAAGCGAGAAAAAACAGCAGGGAAACGGAGGAGTGAAACGACTTGGATAAACATGGAGACTTCCTTGATGCACAGCTCTGAAAGGTGAGAGCGGAATGGGAGGGAGAGGGAATTCTTTGCCAGAACAGTATTATGTTTCTCCCTTGCTTTTACACGTGCTGTTCTTGTTTCTGCTCTGTAGCGAATGGCATGCTCCTGCTTTCACCTCTGGATGGAGTCTGGCAAGTTTTACTTGCTCAGGACAGTGTCTGGGATGCTGGTTTCCATCCGTGGCTCTCGGGAATGCTCTGCTCCTATTTCTGCCATCCTCTTATCCACTCTTTTCTCTCCCAAAGAGCTAAGATCTGTTTAGCCAGAGGAGAGCAACAGCACTGACGTTTGTTTTGCTGCTCTTCCCCAGCATGTCCAAGGACCTGTCAGAACTGTTGAAGGAAGCTACCAAGGAGGTGCATGAGCAGGCAGAGAACACGCCGTTCATGAAGAACTTTCAGAAGGGGCAGGTGTCTCTCCACGAGTTTAAGGTATTTTATAGCAGCATTGCTTGGGAATGGGATTTCCTTGCCGGAAAATACACTGTTAGATCACATGGAGTGTGCAGGGACTAAAAGGGGGAGGATGAGGATGGCACAAGGAAGGAGGTCCTGTGTATTACAGCTGCCTGGTATCAGCATCTCCTGTGCAAAACACGCTCTTCATCAAACTCCAGCACCCTGAGATCTCTCTTGTAGAAGGCAGGGCGGGATGGTGCATAGCAGGGTGGGCAGCCAAGCTGAGGCAGGATGAAAAGACGAAGAGGTTGATGAGATTGATGCAATTGATTTTCTTCATAAAAGCCTGCATGTTAATTACTGGCAATGGTACTTAATGGAGATATGACTGTGCGCAGATACTTGAGTGGCTGAAATGCCAAAAAGAGGGAGAATATTAAATTTACAACCCTCTAAGCAGCCACAGCAAGAAATAATGGTGGAATGGCAAGAATGTGAGGATGTGGGATCATCTCTGGCACTGGACTTCGTGATATTTCAGTTGTCACTTGGGTTATACCAGAGCTGAGCTCATGAACAGTAACAACTCAAAGGCAGACTGAACTTGAGCAAGCCATGTCTGACACTAACAGGCAGGAGCCTGTTGCTATTCCTCAGATAAAATAGAAAACATTTGCAGATACTAGTCTGCACACAACCTGGCTAGATACGTGATTCCTGGCATCTGAGCTACATAACAAAGCCATGGGCAAAAACAAAGCACACACGTGGGCCAGAAATTCCTGGGAGGCTATAGGATGTGACGCATGGTCTTGGAAGTAGCAGCTAGCGATCCAACCTGTGTCTTAATTACTTTGTTGTTTGAATTGTTCCTTGGCAAATAAATCCACCAGAGTGTGAAGAAGACGACTTATTTCTGACAGGTCACATTCAGGATACTTGGTCAGGCACAAATTTAATCTAAGGTGCTGACTTCCTGCTGTTAGGAATGTGCCGCTGGTTAGGCAGTGAACTTTGAGACAGGCTAGCAAGAACATAAAACACCAGGCCCTCGGGAATACAGCTCCATTTCGTAGCAGACATTTACATGCTGTCGGGGGAGTGAGATGTGACGTGGGTTTGAAAAAGTAATGACAGCTTTCCGAAGCCATGTTTCCCATTAGAACTCTACCTGCCTCTGAAAGCAGCCACGCAAGTTATATTTTCTCCACTTGTTAGGCAATGTTCCTGTAGTTTGTTTCTTTCCCAGTAAGCTGGCTACCAGGTTATTGTTTAAAATCCTCTGTTTTTGTTTACTGTCTTGGCACATGCATGTATCTACCCTGATACGTGACTCAGAATCTGAATATTTGTTTCCAAATATCCAGCCAAGCCACTGCCCATGTGCTTATCAAAGTCCTATTTGCTGTCACAGTGGGGAAAAGTTGAAACGGTAACTCTTTTACTGCAGAACTGATTGCTTTGTGGGAGAGTGACCTGCTTTCTCTCCTGTCATCCATGTAACCCACCCCTGCTCAAACCTGACTCACTGCAAGACCTTAATGTTTCACCCTTTGTGGCTGATAGGGAATTCCAGGGTCAGGAAAGGGTGGTGTAGGTATAAATATGAACACAGTCCCTGAAAACAGAATGTGCGGGGCAGGAAAGTACACAGCTAGATTGTCTTACACCACGTGGAAAAGCTGGCAGATGGAAGAAAGCATCGCGTAAGCTGGGAAAAACAACAATAACAATGGTTTCAAAATAGAAAGGAGAACACACAGCCTGACAGTGCTCCTCCACAAAGGCATCTTTCAGAGGCAGGCTGCGCTTCCAGCCCCCTTTTATCTGGTCTCCTTGGGGCAATCCCTCTTGCAAGTGTGAATGAGGAGAGTGTGGTGCCTCAGTTCCCAGGATGGTGGGATGCCAACAGGACAAGTATGTTGAAAAACAAATAGGGTGTGTCATCTTCTTACAAGGCCATGCAAAGGGAAGCCACATCCTAAAGCATTCAGATTTGAACAATGCAGTAGAACATATACCTTTGGGAATACCCTCTCTATTGAACAAGGGGATGAGGAGAATAGACCAGGCATGATTTAACAGAGCTCCTGTTTCCGTTACATCAAGCTGCCTTTAACTTGATAGTTAAGTTACCTTTTAAGAGCAGGTAAGACCAACAACTGCTGGAAAGGACTTAGGTCTTACCTGATGCTGCCTCAGACAGGAGGGGAAGGGCTAAATTGCACCTTGTAACTCTGTTTTCTACATGGGCAACAGACGTGCATGGCTCATACTGGGTGTGCTCATAAGTAACTTTTTCATTAGCAGGATTTGTCCCCCAAAACCTGAAGAAGACATATATATACACCCACAGCTCACCTCTTCATTCTCTTTCAGCTGGTTACGGCATCCTTGTACTTCATCTACTCTGCTCTGGAGGAAGAGATTGAACGGAACAAGGATAACCCAGTTTATGCCCCTGTGTACTTTCCAGTGGAGCTGCACCGGAAAGCTGCCCTGGAGCAAGACTTGGAGTACTTCTATGGCAGCAACTGGAGGGATGAGATCCCATGTCCTGAGGCTACTCGGAAATACGTCGAGAGGCTCCACTACGTAGGCAAGAACCACCCAGAGCTTCTGGTGGCCCATGCCTACACTCGCTACTTGGGAGACCTCTCTGGAGGGCAAGTGCTGAAGAAAATTGCCCAAAAGGCCCTCCAGCTGCCCAGCACTGGGGAAGGGCTGGCTTTCTTCACCTTCGATGGGGTTTCCAACGCCACCAAGTTCAAGCAGCTCTATCGCTCCCGAATGAACGCCCTCGAGATGGATCTTGCCACTAAGAAGAGAGTCTTGGAGGAGGCCAAGAAAGCATTCTTGCTAAATATACGAGTGAGTAACAAACAGCCAGCCCTGCCTGCCCACACCCTCTGTGAAATAAGATAATAGCCACAGGGGAAAGGCAAAGCTGGTATTTCTGCTGTGGAGCTTACGGGAACTTGTGGATTACAGCAAGCTAGTCAGGGTTGGATGGCTACACTTGTCCAGCCTGGGAGCCTAGTGAAAGACTGGTATCTGAAAAGCTGTTCTCCCTCCCTTAAAGTTTGAATTTAGCCTCTTTCATGTGCCATTAAGGGCTTATACTTGGAGCAGGGATCACCACCTATCTGTCCTACCTCTGTAGTACAGATCCACAGGTCCTCTGTGAATTCTGACCAGATGCACAGGTACCTTGTTTTCCTTCCCATCAGAAGGAAGGAGCCGGAAGCTTCAGGGAGATCCTGTAAAATGAACAAGGAGTTTGAAAGATATGCTCTTAACCCCACAGGCAGATTATGTGCTATACAAAAAGTGCCAGAAGGGTTGGACTGAGTTGTGTCTTCATCTGCCTCCTAAAGTGGCTACAGCAGGGGCAAGGGGCAAAGGGGCAGACAAACAGGAGGCCTCATAATGAGACAATGTTCCTTCTTCTCAGGTGTTTGAGGCACTGCAGGAGCTGGTATCTAAGGGCCAGGAAAATGGTCACCCTCCGCAGCTGAAGGCAGAACTTCGCATGAGGAACGTTAACAAATCATATGAGCACGGTAAGACGCTGCTAAGGGCAGGGGTTTAACATCGCCCCTTGTGGTTTTGTTCTCCTCCCTTGCTCTATTCTTGTTTGTAAAAGCCCCTGAGAAAGGAGCATGAGGTGCTTGCCCCATCTCTTCCCCAGCCATCAATAGGTAGTGCAAGGACAGGCACTGTGTGTGCAAAGCTGCTTCTGGACATGTCAGAACAAGGATGACACATGTGGGCTCTCCAGAAAACCAGTCAATAAGGGAACTTGACAAGAAGAAACTGCCCTCTCCTCCTGTTAGGTTTTAACGAGCTTAAGGTGACTTTTGAGCACAGTCAAAACCAGCCTTGACTTCACAGGAGCAAAGGCAGCGATTTTGGACCCAGCAGATCAGCCGTGGTGCTGTGATGCTCACAGAACGTATTTCTTTACACATAGCCCTATCCAGTGGCCTGTCCTTTCAGACTAAATCTCCCTCTTCTGATTTCTCTACCTTCTACAAGTATTCACTGAAAACTCTCCTGAAAGCGCTGCAGTTATATCCAGATGGTGAAACGCAGCCAGCTGGGAAGTGGGGCTGCCCACCCATTTGGCAAAGCTGAGAAAGCTCCACTCCTGGTGAGGGTCAGTCCCAAACTGGGCAAAGCCCGAGCAGCAGCTGCAAGCAAAGCAATGCCTTTACACAGTCAGACTTGTTACCGAGTGAGGAGCTGGCTCAGACGTTTACAGAGGAGAGTGGTTTCCCTGATAACATGTGATTCAAATAAAGAAGCCTTATGACCTACCCACTCTGAAACCAAAAGAGAGATCTTTCAGTGCACGCTGGACTGAGCCATCGTTTTCCCATGGCAAAGAATGAGAAGCAAACCTCATCCTGTGTATCTCTAGGCAACGAAGCTTAAAGCAACTTCTTTGGGAAGGGCAGTAAGAGTTCTCTGTGAAACTTTGCGGCTCCTTTCCCAACACACTCGTAAAAGTAGGATTTTTCTGAAAAGTTTGGTATAGGATGAGGTATCCCATCCTGGGAAAAATGTCTGGAGTGCTGAGGACTGTTTAAGGCCATTAGATGCCTAACCAATTAAATTGGTGAGAAGTAGGACAGAAACCACCTTTTAAAATTCTCGCTTAAGTATTTGACCATCTTCTGCACACACCAGGGGTTTGATGGAGCTGGGCAGTACATGTATATGGCTGTAAGGAGACAAGTTGGTACTCATGTACATGCAGAGTAGTTGTGAGCCTTTGTGGTTTCCACATCAGGTCTGCTGCTTCCCTTCTTCACCTACCCCAGGAGAGCAGAACCTCTGGGCTTCCTCCTCTTCCCCTTGGCAGCTCCAGCACTTGGTACAGCAAGCATGGCATACCAGCAGCGTCTTGCCTCAACCTCTTCTCACTTGCTTTTCTTTTCCCTCCCTATTTGATCTAGGTCCAGCACCTGGGAAAGAAAGCGAGAGGACAAACAGGAGGCACACAGACATGATGCCCACCACTCCCCTGGTGCGGTGGATCCTGGCGCTCGGCTTCCTAGCCATGACAGTTGCCGTGGGCTTATTTGCCATGTGATGGAGCAGGAGCTTCACCTTCTCTTCGTGCCTTCCCTCATCCTGAACTAATCCACCTTCCCCACTCTTTGTGAAAGAAATTTCCTCACCGGGTACTGTGATCTTGGCTCTGCCACTAATATTAGGAGACTTTTTCTCCCCAGAATCAGAGTGCTGTAAGGGGGGTTCAGGCAAAGTCTCCCTCATGCTTGGTGTGAGCTCTTCTCAGAGACTAACTTTATCAGCAAAGGGTAGAAAGGGCTAAAAACAATGGCCAAGAATTGTTGCTTTACAGAGTGCCTGCAAAAACTTCTACAGGATCAGAAATGCAGCTTTGACATCTGTCTCTCCTCAGAAACACGAAGCTCCCTGGAGCTATGTTTGCTCTATGTTTTATACTGTTAGATAACACTGTGATCACTTTTCCTGTGGAGCCGCATGGCTCCCGTGGGTTATAGACTGTTTTATATGACACGAATAGGTCTTTTGTTAATTCCTTTTTCCAATCATTTTTGTTTTCTAAGAGAGAAGCAGAACGCGGTTGTTGAAGATACACTGTCATTATCTTATCTGGTGATGTAATTTATACACATAATAAACTTCAATTTAAACTCTTCAGGCCTGGTATTCCCTATTATTTAATCCTTACCTGGGGAGAAAGGAGGTGTCTTTTGTCCTCCAAGTTTTTTGGGGCTGCTGCCTCCACAGCCATGACAGTAGATAAAAGTGGGAGCTATCAGAATCTGACTCTTCTCCCACTTGGTGCTATCAATAACCTGTTAGAAGCTGGGGCAGGTTTCTGTATCTCCTACACGCTGCTCTCTATTTCTAGAAATGGCACAAAAGCCTGTGAGTGTACAAAGGATTTTTAAGGGGTGGAAGGCATATGTAAGAGCTAATAAAAGCAATAGGTGATGGGACCCTCAGCCAGTCTCAACCAGGGCAGATCTCCCTGACCACTACCAGCTAAGGGCTCCATTCCCAGACTGCCTTTGCAAGAATCAGAAAAGCAAGTGTGTTTTCATCACCCAGAAATGAAACACACTTTAGGCTTTGATCCTACGAGGCAGCTAAATGGGACGCATCAAGCACACAACCGTATGCTCTCACCTATGTAATAAACTAACCCAACTTCCTCCCAGGACTCAGCACACACACATGGCATTGCTGAAGACACTCCAAACACACAGCACTGCTGGAGCAGCTCATGCACACAGCTTTTTTTCCCTCCCTTTTTGCTGAGGCAGCTCTGGATGGATGGCTTTGTGGCCAGCCACTCTTACAGCCATAGGCCCTATGTGCTTTGGAGAGTCTTCTAACACAGGAGTCACTGCAGGAGAGGTTGCAGTTCATGTACGGAACAGTAGATACCCACAAGGCCGTTATCTATCACCTCAGAGGCCTTTCCACTCTTTCTACCAGAAAGCCTCCATGATCAACCAGTCTCCATGATGCTGCCTGTTCTGGCTGTGACCTTAATCCCAAAGACATACATTCCTAAAGATCTGTTTTAATGACCAGCACTGAATCTGCTCAGAGAGCAAGCATCAGAATGCAGGCCGTGCTGAGAATAAACAGTGGGAGAGAGGGGCTGATTCAGGTATTTATTCTCAGGCTCTATATTCCTTCTGAGTCCCCTTTAATACTTCTCTATTTCGGCCCATCTGAAACCCCTGGTAGAAAAAATAGTCCTTAAAAAGATAGTCAGGTGTTTGAAAAGCAGGTGTATGTGGCCTGATAGCTATTCAAATATAAGAACTTCCTCAAAGTTCAGCCTATCCAGTCCCTTTAACCAACCCCAACTAAATCATTATGTTCAACCATGCTGAATAACTAAACATCCCAAATATGCAAATGCCCATGAGCTCAGAAATGCACACTGCCACACTCAGCTTCTCTCCACTAACCAAAGGGATTGCAACTGTGACCTTGAAGTTAGGAAATCTGGGTTCAGAGTGACATCATCCCCTCCCTGCTCATGGCAGAAGGGGTATGGTGCTTTGAGTACCTCTGTCATTGTGCTAACACACACTGAAGGACTCCATGCTGAGCATAAAGAAGTCTTCAGAGGGAAAGACTAATGCTTTGCTTGTACTTGCCTATGATCTTTATGAATATATAAAGAAGGACAAAGACCTGCTAGAGCGAGTCCAGAGGTGGGACATGAAGATGCTTTCTCCTATGAAGGCAGGCTGAGAGAGCTGGGCTTGTTCAACCTGGAGAAGAGAAGGCTCCAGAGAGACCTTAGAGCAGTGCCTAAGGGGGGTCTACAAGAAATCTGGAGAGGGACTTGTTGCAAGGGCAGGTAGTGACAGGCAAGGGGGAATGGCTTTAAACTGAGAGAGGGGAGTTTTACATTAGATATAGGGAAGAAATTCTTCCCTGTGAGGGTGCTGAGGCACTGGTTGCACAGGTTGCCCAGAGAAGCTGTGGCTGCCCCATCCTTGGCAGCGTTCAAGGCCAGGTTGGACGGGGCTTGGAGCAACCTGGTCTAGTGGAAGGTGTCCCTGCCCATGGCAGGGGGTTGGAACTGGATAAGCTTTAAGGTCCATTCCAACCCAAACCAGGCTGTGACTCTGTGGTTTCCTCACAGTGCGGCCCCCCGCACACAGCAAGTTTTTCCTCCACCCTCTTCCCCTTGGCCATGGCCGCACCAGCCGCCTGGGGGCACCCAACGTGCTCCCTCCGCCCGCAATGGTTTCACCCGTTCCCCCCTCCGCTTACCGCCACGATGGTCGCACCCACCCGCCATTTCACCTCTCCCCGCCCTTCTCTCCCAGATTTCGCGCCAAACTGCTCCAGGCCGGCAGGGGTCTGAGCGCCCCGGCCAATCAGCGGCAGAGGAAGGCCGCGCTCTTCCCCTTGGGGCGGGCCGGGAGAACGGGCGGGGTCCAATCCGCGGCGGCGCGCTGAGGGCGGGCCAATCGGAGTGCGCGGCGACAGCGGCGGGGCTGAGCTTTCGTTTCCGCCGCGAGTTGGTTTTGCCGCGAAAAAGTCGGTGGCGGCTTCTCTCGAGCAGCGAGGTGTGGAGCGGAGCGGGATCGGGGGGGCATGGGGGGGGGGGGGGGCAGTGCCAGGGGTGGCGAGGCGGGGGGCAGCGGGCAGTGTATTCGGGAGGAGGGTATCCCCTGGGGCATTTGGTGCGGGGAGGGGAGGGAGGAGAAGGTGGAGAAGAAGGAGGGAATATTTGGTGCTGACCGTGGGCTCTCTCTCCCCTCAGGGCAGCAGCAGTCGCCATGTCCGGCTTTGACGACCCCGGCATTTACTACAGCGACAGTTTCGGGGCCGATGGGTCTGTGGAAGAGGGGCACATTCGGAAGTCGCAGCTGCAGAAGCGGTTGAAGGAGTTCCTGCGGCAGTACCGGGTGGGCACGGACCGGACGGGCTTCACCTTCAAATACAGGTGCTGCTCTGACCGCTTTTCTCCTTTGGTGCCGCTCCTTTTCGGACACCCAGCCTGCTATTAACTTCCCTCCTGCTATGTGCACCTCACATATACAGTGGCATGTGTCAGCTTTTCTCTGCCCGTGGACCATAAATAACTCTTTGTCAGTATAAGAAATGTTCCCGTTTAGCCTTATAGGAAAACTGAGGTCTGGTGTTCTGCCACGTTGTTAGGCAGCCAGCAAGTGGCACAGATAGCAATAGAGGGAGCTGCACTGCCAAGTTTGCACGTAGCTATGAAATTCAAGGTCTGTCTTCCAGTTCTAGTGCTTGCTGGTCTAGTATCCGTTGTCTGTATCCATTCAAATCAGTGCAGCACTGTCCATATGCTCCGTTGGAGGCTGCGAAGGTGCCTTGGTCAGCCCTTTGCCTATGCAGTTTGGAGACACAACTGTGAGAGAACATGGAGATGTGTCATGCAAGGGCTGAGACAGGCCTTTCATCGCTGAATTTCATGGACCCTGGGTTTTATAGAGATTATTGCCAGCTGTGCTATTACTTCATTCTTTAAAGTCATTTTTTAGGTATAATAGGTTATCCTGTGTGGAAATTTTCTAGTTGCCTATCTGGTCGTGTAACTCTAGTGAAAATTAGTCACTGTAAGCACTGGTGTCCCTGTCTTATGTCACATTTCAGAATGGTTTTGCATGAAAGATTTGTCCAGGTCCCCCTACACTCTCCTGGTTGTTCCTGTTTGCTTTCCAAACCAAGGACTTCCTGCAGAACCTGCCTTCTCTGCTGCCTGCTTGTCATAAGGTTGCTATGGGTAACTGTTGCTTTCTCCCCTGCCGACCTTTACTGCCTTCCAGGGATGAGCTTAAACGGCACTATAACCTGAGTCAGTACTGGGTGGAGGTGGAGATGGAAGACTTGGCCAGCTTTGATGAAGATCTTGCTGACTATCTGTACAAGCAGCCAGCAGAGCACCTGCAGCTGGTAAGGAGGGAGGAGATGGGCAACCTGGTGTGCTGACATTGTCACATTATGACAGCAGCCCTGATAATACACTGTAGTACACCTATAAGAGCCTAGTTGTTCCCCTTATAGTTTGAAGAAGCAGCAAAAGAAGTTGCAGATGAAGTCACTCGTCCTCGTCCTTCAGGGGAGGAAGCTCTCCACGACATCCAAGTGATGCTGAAATCAGATGCCAATGCAGCCAGCATCCGCAGCCTGAAGGTGAGGGGACTGGGCTGCCAACTGAGCAGTGAGTGGCAAGGCTTGCTTATGTGGCCATGTGATTGCAGGGAAGCTTTTGGCACTTGAGCACATAGTTCAGGATGTTGGTTGTACGCTAATTTACAAGCAGGGATGCTCTGCAACTTAATTGTGACTACAAAGGACTTACTGCTGGCTTCTGTTGCAGGGACATTATTGCTGTTAGTGATGTTCTGCACAATGTTTTGTCCTTAGCCTGTACTGCTTTGAAATCCACAGGCTTAAGTCATGCAACATTCCTTTACTGCTGTAGAGGAGAAGACTGACATCGTGCAGGCATTTTGTTCTGGTACTGTAGTCCCATAAATGTAGGAATTGTAGCTAAGAACTGTGTTTCTTTAAGTTCTTCAATTTCCCATCCATCCTCCAGTGATGGCTTTCTCACATTCCTTTTCAGTCTGACCAGATGTCCCGCCTTGTGAAGATCCCTGGGATTGTAATTGCGGCAACCCCTGTGAGAGCCAAGGCCACCAGAATAGCCATCCAGTGCCGCAGCTGCCGCAACACCATCACCAACATTGCGGTGCGCCCGGGCCTAGAGGGCTATGCTCTCCCCAGGAAATGCAACACGTAAGGACCAACGTGGGGATACATGTGGGCAGGCTGGTGGGGGGCGGGAAAAGGCTTCATGCCTTCCTCCTGCTTCCCTTCCATCCCATGTGTGCTGCAGAGTCAGCTCTGTGATGCATAATGAAGGAGCATCTGCACTGCTTTCTGCCTCCTCCCTTCGTGTTGACCTTGTGCCTGTATCTGTGGCATTTGCTGTAACCGGTTGCTGGAGTTAAAACTGGCAAGTTTTAACTCCAGCAGCTGTCTGTGGTCATGCTGGTGGTGACACTACATGACCAGTGCTGCAAGTTGTCCAGAGAGTTCTTTTTATCTTTAGTGCATTTTGCCTGTTGTACCTAAAGGTTCATTCCTGCTTATAGCTGCCCCATAATGCTGTGCTAAGCTGCTGG